CGGCGGCTGCCCCTTGGACCTTGGGGGTGCCACTACTGCAGTCCGGGGTGTAACGGCCATATGCCGGCTGCAAAATCAGGCCTTGGGAAAGGTCCAACAGCTAGAAAGAGGAGAAATAGTTGTTGGACACTTGTCCCAACAGTAAATAAAAGAGAGAGGAGGGAAAAAGGGGAGAAAATGGGGGAGAATGAGACAAAGGAGGAGGAATGAGTGGAGGAAAAAGTGCCGCCACATTGGGACTGCAGTGGTAGGGACTGGCAGGTCTCAATGATGACGTCATCCCTCCTAGATCCTAGGAGGGCAGTCCGGATTGCAGAGATAAGGTCCTTGGGGCATTATCTCTGCAATATCTGAATTTAAGCAGCAAAAATAAGGAAAAATGTTGATGTGAGTTGGCCGGTTTTCTTTTGAGCCATAGATCTGAGATTTGATCTCATGGCAAAGGAAATCTAGCCGTTTTTTGTGGGCTGACACAAAACGGCTAGCTCCGGAATGAGTTGGCAGCAAAATGGAGGGAAAACAAAGAGAGGAACAAGACAAAACTGTGTATTTGGCCCAAGGTTTGGGCCAGATACACCAAAAGAATGGAAGATTGAAGTAAAGGCTCAAATTTGGGGCAAGGGGAACTTGGGAGTGACTAAGAATGATGAGAACCATGGATCTCAGCCAAATCCAAGGCTGAGATTGGAGCCGCCACTTGGAAAATGCAATGGCCTACCCAAAAGAGGCATGAACCAGGAAAAAGACGAAAAATGGGCCTCTAGGCCCATAATTTTCAGTAAAGGCTGCATTTTGGGAAGTGGTACGCCAAAAGGCAACTCTTTTTGAAGTACAAAGAGGCCGGGGTAGACCAAGGGGTAGTCCGAGAAGGTACCGGTCTCTCGGACTGCATGTACTTGGCCAAAATGAGGCCCAGGTACCTCCAGGTAGGCAAAAACCGGAAATTTGACCTTGGGGGTACCTCACTCCACCTAGAGGCACTTGAGGAGGCCTAGAGGTGGGGCGGTGCACCGCTTTCAGCCTACATAAGTTGAGGGTGCAGGCCGCCACTCCCATTTGAGCATGAGAGGAGCCCATGCTGCCCAAATGAGTCTAGGAGGAAGTCCTGGTGGAAGTAGAGCAAGGAAGTGAGGGCCGGAGCTAGCCTGGAGCCTAACTATGGTGATGGGACTAAGGGAGAGGGCCTAGAAGCTAGGAAGAAGCAAGGGAAGTGGTCCGCCATAGCCCCCAGGCTGTGAGGTAGAAGGAGAGGCTAAAAGGGGTCCCCATAGCCCTCCTAGAGGGAGGGACTCCATAGCCTTAGAGGTAAGAGCCTGCCATAACTTGAGAGGAGGAGTGAGAGGAGGAAGAGAGAGACTTGGGAGGTGGGGGAGATATACCCAAGGGGCTGAGGGCCAAGCTTGGGACTCCACTGCACAGGGACCAACAAGAGGTGAGTGGGAAGGGAGAAAGTTTCCCCTCCTTCTTCCTCCTTTCTTCCTCTTCTTCTTCTTCTTCTTCTTCCTCTTCTCCCTATCCTCCTTCTCCCTCTTCTTCTTCCTTCTGCTCTTCTTCCCTTCTTCCCCCTCCTCCTCCTACCCCTCCTCCTCTTCTTCTTCTCCCCCTTCCTCATCCTCTCCCTCCCTCCAAAACTGTTAATTTAGCTGATTTTGATGCTTGTACATGTTGCGATTCATCCTAGGATACTTCGGTGATCATTCCCCTAGTGTAGATGTCATCAAACTTGTCATTTTGCTGATTTGGATGCCTATGTGTGTTGCG